TGTTTATTCGTTTTCTCTTCTTTATAGGGAAGAGTCCAATACAAAAGCTGAAGTTAGACTGGCCCACGAGGAGGAAAATCTGCCTCGGCATTGCCAGAGGCCTAGCTTACCTTCATGAAGAGTCGAGCGTTAAGATAGTCCACCGAGACATCAAGACGAGTAATGTTTTGCTGGACAAAGATCTCAATGCGAAGATATCTGATTTCGGCCTGGCTAAGCTTAACGAGGATGATAATACCCATATTAGTACCAGAATTGCTGGGACCATGTAAGTTCTTGTCTTTATTTACATTCTTTCTTATTAGCTTAATCTACATCTCTTACTGACTAGTTACAACAATCACGTAGCGACAATATAACTTTCACACGATAGAATTGTTGTGAAGTCGGCATATTCGTTAGACAAACGTACTTTCTTTATAAACATGCATACTCCATAATCACATGCAGTGACGGATCCAAGAATTTTACTCAGGGGTGTCCGATTTTAAATATTAACTAACGAGCTTGTAGTTTAAGTCAAAACGCTCATTTCATATAAAATGTATTTACTATAAATATAAATATCGATATGTGTACTGTCAAGTTTTAAAAAACTTAGAATCCAATCACCCTCAATTTTTTTTCTTTTTTTTGAAAGTTAGATTTCAAGTATTTATAATTTAACTTCAATATCTATAAGTTGTGGAAAAATAAGTTTTTTGGTTGAAAATTTTATTTAAATTGAACTTTTACAGTACATTCCATAATATTTTTATTGATGAGAGCGTACCAATTGAACAATTTTTAAGAAAAAATTAAATAAAGTTAAAAATATGTGATCACACAAAAAAAAGTAAGAAATCAAGTAACAATCCAACTAAATACTCGGTTTTATATCAGTAAATCGATTTACAATTAAAAGACTGAAAGAGTAAATCATTATAAATACTTTCAAAAACTTATCTAGAAATGTAAAATATAAAGATTGTTAATATAAAGATTGTTAGTACATTTTTCAACAAATAAATAATATTATTAATTTAAAGTAAATTAACATAGAAAATAAATTTTAATTATTAATATGTTATAAATATTTTTTTTGTATNAATGCGCGGTTACTTGACGAGCAAAGCAGATGTCTACAGTTTCGGCGTGGTTGCACTCGAAATAGTCAGCGGGAAAAGCAACACCAACTACAGGCCCAAGGAAGACTTTGTCTACCTTCTCGACTGGGTTTGTTCAAAAATTAGATTTTTTTTTTTTATTAACCATGGTTCGCTGTTCAACGTACAAATACTAAATAAAAACCTTAAATTCCAATCAGGCTTATGTTCTGCAAGAAAGAGGCAGCCTGCTGGAGCTGGTTGACCCTGAGCTGGGGTCCGCATACTCGTCAGAAGAAGCAATGGTTGTGCTGAATGTAGCCCTTTTGTGCACGAATGCGGCTCCAACTCTAAGGCCGATAATGTCCCAGGTAGTAAGCATGCTCGAAGGTCATACTGAGATTCAAGACTTGTTGTCAGATCCAGGATTTTCGACTCTCAACTCAAAGTACAAGGCCATAAGGAACCACTTCTGGCAGCAACCTAGCGCGACTCATAGCATGTCTGTAAACAGCCTTTGTTCGGATTCGACTCGTTCGGAGGAAAAATGACATTGCTCTACAAACTGATTATATATACTTATCTGTTGGTATTCTACCAAGCAATTGCATATGATATTGTAGAATACCCTTTTTTTTTTTTTCTTATACATGTTGTATTGACAGAAACTAATAATGCATATGGGCTGTAGCATGGCATGTATTTAGTAGTCTGCAATTGATGAAAATTGGCTGCTCTGCATCAGTCCTATTGAAAACTATTGATTTGGGATGACATTGGTCAATAAAAAAAAGTAGACCCTACAAGATTTATTCACTTTTTTTCTTTTTTTTTTCCTAGACAAACAAGAAAATTTATAAAGACCTGCCAACAATTTGTACTCATTCTTTCTAAAAGAACATCACATAGCCAACAAGTACTTACCACTTTTTATTAATTAGTTCTACTATTCATTTCACTCATAATTGAATAAAACTAACAAAAATGATGAAATTCCAACGGAAATTCCAATGGATATTTCAATGTTATTATTTCCGTTGGAATTATTCCAACGGAAATTCCTACAAAAATATTCCGTTGGAATGAGTTTTCCATTGGAATTTCCGTTGGATTTTGACGATTCCAACGGTGGTGGAAATAAAAATTCCAACAGAAATTGCATATTCCAACGGAAATTCCTACGGTCAAAAGTCGTTGGAATCATCAAATTCCATCTAAAATTCCAATGAAAAATACATTCCAATGGAATATTTTCGTTGGAATTTCCGTTGAAAGGATTCCAACGGAAGCTATACCATTGGAATATCCGTTGAAATTTCCATTGGAATATATTACCATAGGATTTTCCGTTGGAATATAACCATTTTTCTTGTAGTGTAAACATAAAGAGTAACATACTGGATGGATGACGAGAATGTTTATCGTTGATATTAAAGTTGGTATGATGTAAATAAAAAAGATCATGACATGTGTATTATAGTGAAATTTCTCATGATTTTATCTAGTCGTAACTAATTATTATTATTAATCATAATTATCAATCAACATGATACGCTTTCATCTCATTACGCCATTTCGGAAAAAATGCAATTTTCACATTTGAACTTTATCCTCTTTGTGCTTTCGTACCCCCAAACTATCACTTAATCAATTTTGTTTAGAAATTTCACCTTCAGTAACCAGTTTCGGTGTCTTCAATTAATTGCTCCGTTAAAAACGAGCAGATCAAAACAATATCGTTAACTTCTCCGAAATTTGAAGAATGACTGGAAATACAAGGAAAACATAACAATTCGAATTGAAATTCATGTAACATGTGAACTTAAAATTCAAATGGATAAAGAAAAGGGCCATTGTTGCCTATAAAAAGAGCGACAAAGCAAAATAACACCCATCAATTTTGGATACATATCGCACGTATATATTTTGACTAAGATTAAAAACATACATTCATGGACATAAAATTTGAAATGATAGTTGTAGCTCATGAAGAGATAAACAAAACGAGATATTATTAATAAACTCTGGTCAATTGCGCCGCCGAGAATTTT